TAAAATAACTGCTTTCTATTTTAATATATTTTAAAATGTAATTTATTCATGTGATCAAAGCTAAATTTTCAGCATCATTACTCCAGTCTTCAGTGTCACATGATCCTTCAGCAATCATTTTAATATGCTGATTTGCTGATTATCAATATTTAAAACAGTTGAGTACATTTTTTCAGGATTCTTTGATGAATAGAAAGATCCAAAGATCAGCATTTATCTGAAATAAAAAGGTTTTGTAACATTATACACTATACCATTCAAAAGCTCTTTTTAAAATTTATATTATAGAAATTATTACTTTCATTTAGCAAGGATGTTTTAAATTGATCAAAAGTGATGATAAAGACATTTATAATGTTACAAAAGATTTCTATTTCGGATAAATGCTGTTCTTCTGAAGTTTCTATTAATCAAAGAAATCAGAAAAAATCTACTCCGCTGTTTTCAACATCATAATAATAAATGTTTTTTGAGCAGCAAATCAGAATATTAGAATGATTTCTGAAGGATCATGTGACTGGAGTAATGATGCTAAAGCTCTGCTTTGAAATCACAGGAATAAATTATATTTTCAAATAGAAAACAGTTATTTTAAATAGTAAAAATATTTCAAAATGTTACTGTTTTTGCTGTATTTTGGATCAAATAAATGCAGGCTTGGTGAGCAGAAGAGAATTCTTTAAAAAACATTAAAAATCTTACTGTTCAAAAACTTTTGACTGGTATGTTAGCCTATAGTTTGAAGTAAAAAATATTAATATTAATAAGGAGAGTCTGAGATTTATTTGACAGTGATTTCACATTTCTTGTTTGTATGAAGGTTAAATACCAATAAAAGGTGAACATTTATTTATTTGGGCCATTTTTTCCCTAAAATATTATATAGTTTTATAGGAGTAGGTTTCATAGAGTTGGCAAATACATTTTTCATAAGTTTGTAGGTACAGACATCTGTTGTGGCCATTCTTGGCCGTTTTTATGAGGATTTTTTAATAGTGTTCATATCGATATCGGAATTATATCGTATCGACTGAAATTAAGAAATATATCGTGATATAAATTTTGGCCATATCGTCCAGCCCTATGTTCATATAAAATATAACATGCAGTTGCTTCAAACAATGGTGCAAACATCATCCAATGGAAATTGTGATAATCGTAATTAATAATCAAGGGAATAATCAACAATTATTATTTTTGTCATGTCATTTGTATCTTGCAGTCCTACTATATTTATTAGCCTAGTATCATTGTGGGTTTTGGTTCTTTTGCTGTTTTAGGCTGCAAGGACTTTTGAAATAACTGAAATAATTTGGCGAAGTGATATGGAGATGTAATGTGGTCAAGATCTGCCTGGAACTACTTTATCTGTGCGTTTCCCTGAAAATAATTGCTCCCCTTAGAACGGTCGTCAGCCAATCAGATTCAAGCATTCAACAGTCCCGTAGTATAAGACTGCCATTAAATGGCTGAACATATTTAATGGCGCACTGATTATTGCTCTTTTATTTCTCCATCAGTCTCCAGACAAGCACGCCGCTCTAGAGGAAACCAAGAACTACACCACTCAGTCCCTGGCCAGCGTGGCCTACCTGATCAACACACTCGCCAACAATGTGCTCCAAATGCTCGACATTCAGGCGTCCCAGCTGCGCCGAATGGAGTCCTCCATCAACCACATATCTCAGGTAACCTAGCAACACACCACACCTCCCCATACAATGTCACACTCTGGGATATATTTACTGAAGGATGACTGACAGCTCGAAGAGTCTGCTAGGAGGTGACAAGTAAATGACTGTGACATAGTTAGGTAAAAGGTAGATTATAAGAAGCTTGATTATAAGTGGTTCTGACACTAATATTAGTGTAGAAATCTTTATTACTTTAATCAAACATTATGCCCTCATGAATGGTCACACATGAAAAGTACAGTTACCCAAGATCATCTTTTATTTATTTTTTAATTATTCAGAACTTTGGTTGGCTGATCAGAGAGGATCCTTGTCCAGACAGTTTTCGAGTCAGTCGATCTCATTGATTCTGTAATTGAACATCTTGCCACAGAGTCACAGTCTGTAATGAGCTGTAATTCAGATGCAGCGTAACCGCAGGGGTCTGGTGCGACTGCTGGAGTGTTTTGTGCTAGCCAAAGATATTTGCAAATGTTAGTCACACATACTCATTTGTGTGTTGCCTTATGTCCCTGCCTTCTCTCTTTTCCTCAGTAACCACTTCTCTCTCCTCTACCAGTCGCGGGAAATTCCTCCCTGTGGCGTCACATCTGGACTGTTGCATTACACAAAGCTCTGAGCTGAACTATTCAGAGTACCACAGTAAACTGGACAAGGGACCACACACATGCACCTCAAATATAAATTAAAAAAAACCTCACCCTTGTGATTCTATTTAATTTTTTCCCTTTACTTTTATTGACCAAACTTGCATTATATTGATCAGAATATAGTATTACAAAAGTTTTCTTTCAAATAAATGTTCTTTTGAATTTTCTTTTCATTAAAGTATCCTATTATTGTGTCATGGTTTCCACAAAAATATTAAGCAGCAAAATTGCTTTCAACACTGATATTAATAATAAATGTTTCTTGAGCAGCAAATCAGCATATTAGAATGATTTCTGAAGAATCATGTGACTCTTAATGACTGCTGTCAGTTTATCTTTGTCATTACAGGAATAAATTACATTTTAAAATATATTCAAGCAGAAAATAGTTATTTTAAATTGTAATAATTTTCACTATTACTTTTTTTCGCTGTATTTTATATATGGATATGGAATGAAAGATATAGAATGTACTTCATGTTAGCTTGGTTATCTTGCTCAAGAGCAATCTGTCCACAAGTCACACTAACAAGAAACTATGCTTCTAACCTATAGCTGTAGTTCCAACCACACAGCTTTTCAGTGCAATTTGCAGATGTTTGTTGGAACTGTGTTTTTGGGAAACGCTGAATCATTGAACTATGTTGCTAATGACGGAAGTTGCGACCATAGTTTGCCAGCGATGCTTCTGGGAAACACAGCCCAGGTCACCAGCAGCTGCCTATTTCTCCATAATGAATGATTTCTCTCTTCCAGTTTTCGTTGTTTTTTTGTTTTTGTCTCCATATCTCTGATCTGTCTTCTCTCCTCTGCCCTCATCTGTGGACCCAACTGTTGTTGTGGACTCGATCCCTATTTACCATATCACTGTCACTTAATACTGAAAATCATTTAGCTGTGTTTGAGAAGCCAGCAGCAGAGGCTTATCCCCTCTGTGCTTCCTCTGTTATTTTTTTATTTAACAGCTGTCAACAGCATGGGCTCTAAAGCGATTAAACACAGCGGCACAACATCTAATGCAGCTCTTCTCGTGAAGTGCTTTTGGCACGATCCTCTCCCAAATTGCCGTGTGAAATGAAACAGAACTCCACCGACAGGGATTTCAGACCTCTCACAACTACACGCTTTAATAATCCAATCCAATGTTCCAATGTTTTGGAACCCATTTCCACAGATAATAGAGGCCATCGTTTTTTTCTCAAGATTTCTCTCTCCAATGCAGTTAGTAAATACAGTTGCTATTGTAGCTTTAAGACTTCTGTACGTAAATGTCTTGTATTATGATTGGCTATCATGGATACAAATATGGTTTTAATTCTAAATGACCCAGTTTAGTTTTAGTACATCTCAAATTTCTTCAGACTTTTTAAACTTTTTTTGTTGTTGTTGTTCTTCCACTTCTCCAATCCAGACGGTGGACATCCACAAAGAAAAAGTGGCGAGGCGGGAGATCGGCATCCTCACAACCAATAAGAACACCTCCCGCACGCATAAAATCATTGCTCCAGCCAATCCCGAGAGGCCAGTGCGGTTTATTCGCAAACCTATCGATTACAGCATGCTGGATGATATCGGTCACGGTGTGAAGGTAGGACACAGGCTCACCTCAGGGGGAATGATTTCTCAGACTAACATGTTTGTTTTGAACTAACAAATGCCAGAATCTGACGTGGGTTTTCTTTGTGTCTGAGATGTGTCACTAACCTCTCTGTGCTTCCTCTCACCTCTGTTCTCTGCTTCGCTCTTGGTTTAAGTGGTTACTTAGGTTCAAGGTAAGGGTCTTTACAGCTGTCTTATGATCAGGTGACATGAATGGAGAAGGAATAAGGTTTGATTCCTTAGTTCATATGATCTAAATATGGACTGAGAATACTGATATTCTGTATTGGATTCATTCTAGGTTTAAAGGCTTGTCAGTTTTTACAAAAACACTATTTGGAGACTCAGAAATTTCTTATATAGACGCATTAATGACTGAGGAATCGAAATGGAGCAAATAATATTTTAGTTTGGTTTAGCAAATTAGAATTTGAACACCGATTTGGCAGTCATCCTTGTTTCTTCTTTCATCCTTTCTATATCACATTTGCATTTTTATCATTGTTGCATGTTGCTCAGGAGTGTGTGTGTGTGTGTGTGTGTGTGTGTGTGTGTGAGAGAGAGAGAGAGATTGTTCTGTTTGTTTGGTCTTTTCTTTGTTTTCTTTAAAACATAAAACACTTTTTCACAGTCTTTCTCTCTGTGGCTCTACATTTTATGCTGCTGTTCTAGGCTATTGTGGACTTAGATACTGTTTTCCTCCTCTTCCATGCAATTGAAATGCTTTTGTTTACAGCAAAAGGCTGTCTTTGATATTGTTGATTTTGTTGTTATTGTCATAGGTCAACACCCAGAACATGAAGATGGGCAGCCTTCTTCGCACCACACCTCCAACACAGAAACCACCCAGCCCCCCAATGCCAGGCAAAGGCACCATAGGGTATGTATATGGGCTTTATAGCTCTAGGGGTCACGAATGAGAGAATTGAGACTGAGATTGTGGCAGTGGAGTGGAGATTTTGTGAGTTTTTGCTTATAATATTTAAATCTCCGAGGTCCTTCATTGAGCAGCACAAAATCTTTTGATTTAAATATATTCGGCAGTGTTTTTATGATAAATGAAATTAATGACGAATTCTAATATGCAGTACCAGTCAAATGTGTCGACACGCCTACTAATTTGTCGTTATTCCATTATGTAGATCATTAAGTGTGTCAAACATTTGACTGGTACTTTATGTCACTTTCAACTTGTCCGATAATTTAAAAGAGTGTTTTTATGGTAATGTTTCTACTGCAACATCAGTGAGGTTTTCATTTCCTAGTAAAAGCCTGTTTTTCAGTGTAGGTCATGCACAGCGTGATGTGACTCAGGGGCACATGTGTGGGTCATGTCTTTAGTCCTCTGAGAATTCAGCCTCAGCCTCACAGATGACATTATCCAGTACATCCCTTGTTTCCCTTTATGCCATTGAAGAGCCTTATTTACATTTGGGTCAGAAAAATTTGGGTCAGTGTTTTAAATGTGCATCAAAAATTGTGAAAGCGTGAAACTGTGATTATGAAAGATCTGGTATGCTTAAATTTTTAAAGCGTGTTCATTATTAAGACGGGGCTTGATGTTTTGAGCACTGAGGACAGAGGGTGTGTCCTGCCCTGTTTTCTGAGCACTGGCTGTGAAGATTGACTCTCTTTTGGTTTCCTGTGTCGCCCCATGATGGCTGGTCATTGCAGGCCAGATTGTGTGTTGCTTAATGGACAGTTAAGCAACACAGCTAAAGCTCATTCCCTCATGAAATGCATATGCAAGTGAAGGGAAGTTGTAAATCTGTACATATCTGGTAAAATGGTTCAGTGAATCTCACAAACCTGCCAAGAACTGGTCAGTAGTTTCATTTTTTTATGGACAAATAAGATTTTCTTTTTGACATTTATTTTCATGACAATTAAGCAGATTTCTATGTGAATTATCATCATTGTACTGTGGAAAAGAGTAGTATTTTTGTCCTTTAATTTATGCTTATTTAAAAAAAGTACAGTAATTGGTTTACTGTAATAAGGTGAAAATATGTATTACAGTTGTGGAAATATGATTGGGCACACATTATGGTAATGAGAGTCTGGGGTTGAAATGTCACTGGCAAAATAGCATGATTTTATTTCAGCAAAATTTATTTATTAATGTGAGCTGTTTTTTTTTGTTGAGAGATTCATTGTGTGGCTGTTTCGGAGACACAAATTAAGAGAAAAGCAAGGTTGAGTACTTTTTAGGGATGCACCGATCCGATACGGAGTATCTATATCGGCTCTGATACTGCCATTTTCTGCCAACTCTGTTATTGGTCAGACAAGACCGATCCAAATCGGATACTGTGCGTATACTGTTATTGTTAAGCCCCACAAAAGGCACAAAAACATTATATAGCACCATAAAGTTTTCGTGCACTTCCAAGTGTTCTGAAGCCATTACATAGTTTAATGTGAGGTGCAGACGAATGTTTAAGTCGTTAAATTCAAGTTCACGTGAACTCTTCTCTCCGGTGCGGCTGTTCATCCTCCATTCAGCATTCACACTGCGTTTTGTTACTATAGTCAAGACGATGAAACTCTCCAAGATAATTCAGTGGTTCCTATCATTATATCTGTAGATAAAGATCAGTGGTTTTGCATAAATGGACATTATCTAGCTGGAGTTTAGTGCTCTTTCTAAATCATGTTACTTTCTACTGGATGTCTGTTAGATCACAACACCATGAGTTGTTCTTCACGCATACAGTAACTGAAATTGAATACAGTTAAAAGAAAAAAATCTATCACCGATATAATACACTACACATCAATATCTCTTCCTTTTGTGCTTTGAACTTTTCTATGTTGAACGCTGTGACTCCGTGTTGCTTCAAGCACATCATTCTGCGCACAGGATGCACATAACGCTTTGTATTGGAGCCTTTCATATTATAATACTTTTGCACAATGAAAGATTATTCTTTCATCCTTTCTTGTTCTGGCCTATCTATCATACTGTATGTTGCTGCCTCATTACTTTGCTATACATTTAAAGGAAATGTCTTTGAATTTTATAGTATATATTTATATCTAAATATATTTGCTTGTATTTCTTTAATGTATTTTACAACAATACAAAGAGCAATGTGTAACATTTTACCAAATTTAGTCCTACACTTATACACTTATTCTGTTTTTCCCCACTATATAATGTTTTTTGCTCTTAATGTTCAGATTTGATTAAATTATTGTGCGCTCATAATTTTTCTAGAGTTCCTTTTGCTGCTGAATTATCCACTAACCTAGTTTATAATAGTATTTTTTTTGTCATAGATTATTATTTTATATTTTTTTCACTTGTTATTTTTCTGTATTATGAAGTTGTCTATATTTAGTAGATAGTGTTTAACACACAATAGAGTGATGATCAGGTCAACACACAGAGGGGTATAAAAGTTCTACATTGATTTAAAAAAAATAAAAAAAAACTGCTAGAATCGTATCAGTTTCGACCAATACTCAGTTTTTGGTATCGGGGCATCCCTAGTACTTTTAAGGTTCTTGCAGTTTTTCCTGTGATGAAGAGACAATTTAGTTGATTTAAGTGGTAATAAATTGTTTTAATTAAAGATGTATGTTAATAGTTTATTAATAGTTGACTCAAACAGTAATGCCTGTTTCCTCTCTTTTGATACCAGAGAAAAAATGGGCCACTGACTTCACGTTTTATTTCCACAGATTGAATTACAATTTCTCACCTGCACTTTCCTGACCTCAAATCCAAAGTACTTTATTTTTAGTTATTTGTGTTGTTTCACAACCTTGAAAATTATGTATGGAATCTCATCCTTTCAAAGAAAACTGAAATCATGCTGTCAATGAATTATAACCATTTTGTTTAGGAATGTTAAAAGTCCTGATTGTTTATTTTGAGAATATCAGACATTGTCAAGCAAAATTGTCTGATCAAGTTTCCCCAAGGTTGTTAAACTGCTGTCCCTCCCAACAGGAGGCACTCCCCCTACAGAACGCTTGAGCCAGTGCGGCCTCCGGTGGTACCTAATGACTATGTCCCAAGCCCCACACGCAATATGGCGCCCATTCTGCAGCAAAGTCCTGTGCGCACAGCATCTGTTAATCAGAGGAACCGCACTTACAGGTACCATTACCCACATCCTCTCCTTTCTGTCAGAGCATGCCTTTCTCACACTGCAGTTAGGGACTTTGCACCTATAATGACTGTATGTACATGTATTTATTAGCTAGCATTGATTAGCAGGTTTTGCTGTAAAGCTCTTTCACACAGACATCGCTTTTCACCAGCACTTCTAAAACAAGCATCGTTGATTGTCTGCACGATTGCATAATCTGAAACCTTGGCAACCAGTTGGAAGTGACGTTAGCAGTGCTCACAAACACCTCATCAGTCATGGAGGATAAAGACGCCTGAAGATGCTCTCAAATGACTGCAGAGCATCTCTTTCTCTGACATTTTCTCTGTCTCCCATCTCAAACTTTCCTTTCTTGTGTTATTTTTCCTGAGGATTTTAAAGACCAAGTCCCCTACATTGCAGAACAAGCGCAAGACTCTTGCAGATAGTTCTCTCGGTCTTTCCTTTGAAGCTCAGACCTGCTGTGTCTGAAATTATGTAACGGCTCTCACTTGTTATCTTTGATCTCTGTGCCGTCTGCAGAGATGCCTGTAACATCTTCATTTATGCATTTGGCTGACACTTTTAGCTAAAGCGGTTTTATAATGTGTGTTTCCTGGGAATCGAACCCTGACCTTGTTGTTTTTAGCATCCCTTCCTCTTCAATACACTTACAACCTTCTAACCGGTTCTAGAAGGGTTTTCTTAGAAAACACTTCTAAGCATTTCTCATGTTTTCACCCTGAGCAGTGAATGTATCTCCCACATGCTCTTTACGACTGCCTCTTGGCACTCAGTGCAGAATCCAAAAAAGAGCATTTGATGCCGTTTTCCCCAGCCCTCTCCCATCTGTCTGCCAGTTGGAAATGTTATTGAACATCTTGGACAAAAATAGCAACGGTTGTGCCCTCCTGACTTTAAGAAGGGCTGATGATCTGATAATGTTCTCAGTATTTGAGAACATGTTAATATCATCACAGCCTTCATAAATGGAGTCCAGCCTTAATCGTGCATTTAGAGGCTACAGAAAGTCGAAGTTGCTGGAGCCTTGGCACTTTGGAGTTGTAGCACTTCAAGGATGGCGGTTTTGAGTCCAGCTTGTGTTGTCCAAATCTCATTTCCCCTCATAATTTTATAGCCTACGAGAGGCTAAATCACGAAAACTGCCAAGAAAAGCCTTGGTCTTCGCTCACCCCAAAAATGAATAGAAAAATATATGTTTTGCCTACAGGAAATTGATTTAATTAGAACAACGACTCTTGAAAGGATGGTTGGTTTTTATGCTGATATGACAGTTTTGAGCATTAATTCTCTCAAATGCCTTAGTTGTTATGAAATTATTGTGCAGTCCAACAAGTTTTAATGGCTCTAAATAGGCTTTCCTAAAATCTGCGATGTAAGGGGACTTGATTCTGTGCATCGGTTGTTGATTGGATGGAGGCAGATCTGAATGTGAGCTTGCAGTCGATCATAAAAGCCCTGATATACTTCCAAGTAAAATCAAAGAACAAATTGGTGTGATGTTGGGATGCAAGCTAACAGTAAACAGCTGCTTGTGTATTTCAAACTTCCTTTTACCTCTAATTGAGGAACAAAAAAGAACGTTGCTGTCACTATATCAGGGCCTTAAGAAAAGAGCAGGTTTAAATGAATTAAATGATTCGAGAAGTCCAGCATACATCCCCAGAGAGAAGTCATTTTCATTGGATGATCAATTTTGATCAAAAGTACAAGGTCAGAATTTCTTTTTTTGGAAGTTGTTCAAAATCAAATTGGTAATATGCATTAAAAAAAGTATAATTTCCATTTCATGCTGATTATGAAAATTGTTGCGTTGATGCTGACAGTTCATTCTTCTCTTCAAGACACTCTTTAATGTGTCTTGTACCTTTTCTTCAGTTGCTTTAGCTCTATATTCGCCTGGCATTGCTGTCTGTTTCTCTTTTCATCTTAAAAAGGTATCTCACTCAAAGACCTTCATCTCATTACTGATTGATTTTATGCATTTCTTCTTGCTCTTTTCTCTTCATCTCAAGCACATAATCTCATGCAGTCTGTGCTCCATGTATTCAGTATGAGTGCAGGCTATGAGTGTACTACTATCTGCCCACAAAATCTCTGCTGTTGCTTCTCTGTTCCTTCTGTGACTCACAAATGCTGCCATCTCATGTTCTTTATATCATAGACACTGAACCCAACCCGTGCTGCTTTGTGTGAGCTGTTCAAATCTATAATATCTATGTGTCTGAGTTTGTATGATGTATATGTGTTTGAGAGCACTTGCAGTGGTGAGTGTATGATTCATCTGTTTTGTTGTCTCTGTGTGTGAGTCTTTGGATGTCAGTATGTGTATAACATACGCCCCTGTGAGGTGTGTAATCTGTAGTGTGTGTTTAGCAGCGGGAGCAGTGGCGGCAGTCATCCCAGCAGTCACAGCAGCAGTCGTGAAAACAGCGGGAGCGGCAGTGTGGGTGTTCCCATCGCTGTGCCCACACCCTCTCCACCCAGCGCCTTTCCAGGTGACATCTTTATCACAGAAAGCACACTTAACATATGTACTGCTGGCAGTCTGGCTGTTTTTTGATTATTTATAATAAGAGCTTGTTTAAGAAGTGTGATATGAACTTGCTAATAACTGGCTTTATATCTAGATTCAAATACTAAAAACATTAATAGGATAGTTCATCCAAAAGATACAATTCTTTCATCTGTTCATGTTGCTCCAAATTTGTGTGTATTTTTCTGTTTTTGTGGAAAACAAAATGAGTTCCACAGAAAAACTGACAAGCAAGAACTAATGAAAATTGAATGTGGTTCTTGTCCTTCTATGGTGTCAACTGCTAGAAAAGATGTTTTCACATGTATCATAGTGCATTCGTTTTTAGTCAAGATTTTCATAGGTATTGGTCTACTCATCACAAAACTGCCGTATAGCTTCAGAAAATGTTTCATATAACACTGGTTGGTAAAAACAACATTTGGTAGGTGCTTTTATCCAAAGTGACTTATTGGAAAATATTGGAAGTATACATTTCCCATGCATTCCCTGGGAATTGAACCCTCAACCTTGGCATTGCTAACGCCACGCTCTACTGTTTGAACTACAGGAACAATAAAATATAATACACTACTTTTATGGTACTTTTGTACCTTTTTCACTCTACTATTTACTTCTATGCATTGATAAAGCATCTTTGAAGACATGAGGTCAAGTAAATGATTAAATGAATTTTTTGGGTGAACTCTGAATGGGTGAAACTCAGTCAGCAACCACAGTTTTTACTGTCAAATGACTGAAACAAGGAATTTTTTGAATGAGATTTGCATATACATCCAAGGTGTCCAATCCTGCTTCTTAAGGGCCACTGTCCTGCAGAGCTTAGCTCCAACACACCTGCCTGGAAGATTCTAGTGATCCTGAAGACCTCGATTAACTGGTTCAGGTGTGTTTAATTAGGGCTAGAGCTAAAATGCTGAAAGGTGGCCCTCCAGGAACAGGATTGGATACCGCTGATATACTTGGTCTTCACAAAAGCTGAATTGTGACTGGATTTTAAGCTCAGTATTTCTTCGATCATGTAGAGAGTTCTCTGAGACTAAAGTAAGACTTCTTCCTGGCATGCCCCACATTAGCTCCCTTTAAACGAAATGCAAAAGCATTTCTCATTTGGTTTGCTCCGTCTTTCCTTTTTTTTCAACCTCAAGCTGCTACTGCCAGCACACCCTCAGCTCCAACTAACTCCACTCAGCCTTCTGTCATGTCCTCTAATTTAACCCTTACACAACCCTCAGCCAACCCCACCTCAATCCCTGAATCTCTTCCCACTCACCCCGACTCCACTGAGAGCTTGCTGACCCCAGAAAAAGGCTCTCCTACCTCTCAGCCACCACTCACTTCAGCTGAAGCTAGTGCTACATCCAACACCAACTCTGGGACAGGTGAGTTCGTCACTGTCCGGCCCATCTCCAGCCCATCAGTCATACCTTCTGTGCTCGTTTCATTCCCCACCTGCTGACACATCACACTGTTCTGTGGTGAAGTTTTGGTCTTCGTGTCCTACTCATTTTGCTTTCTCATGAGTCTCTCAGGCTGTTTTCACACATGGTTTCGTTGTTTGTTCTGACTCAAACATGGTACAATAGTTTTGTGTCATCAATGAAAGTACCACTGTAACTTCACTCGCAGAGAAAGAAATGCAAACGTTTTGCTTGTATGCAACAGTTCTTTAAACAAGATTACATGTTGCATTCTTCTGAGTGTCGTATTACAGAAAAATATAAGCTGATTAATCACCTAATTGCCAATATTTCTCTATAGAGCGCTGCGGTGATGACGACACAATTTTGTAGGCCAACCTGGAGATTAGCATCACCCTAGTTCACTCTACAAAAACCCAATAGGATTTTTTTCCATTGGCTTTTGGATTATTGCAGAAAGCAAGCTCTGTGTCTAAGAAAAGTTTCTGATTCTTACACATTTTATTCCTCATGATAATCTTCACAAGATAACAGTTTTTATACATTTTGAAGCCTAAATACAATTGCCAGAAGTAAAAAGCTAAATGTAGACTATAAATGAAGTACACTACGAACGCATGACTTCAACGCCACCACCATTATGCTTCTGACAACTCTTTCAGTCTTTATTTAAAAACATATTCCATGAAAGTTTGTGGCAGAAGAGTTAGCAAAAGCACAGTTGTAAACACAGTGATGCTGTGGACCAGTGAGTAGATTTAGAGTTTACCTGTTCAGTGTATTGACATTAAATGACACTTGTTAGCAACCGCCTTTTTCCAAGACAAGTAAAAGCTTTGATTACAAGGGGGTTTTACTGATGCATTTAATGTCGAAGAATAAAACATGAAAATATCTTGAGCTGATGTTGACCACAGACCTTATTTTAGACATTTAACCGTTCAAAAAAAACATTGACTTAAGGACAATGAAACCAGAAGTACTAAAATGCTAACTCATTTCCAGGATTTGGCCTACAAAAATCATTCCTGCAGCAGCATTCTATTAAAAATGATATGCAAATATTAAATCCACACCAAGATGATCTAGTGTGAAAACCACCTTAGTCCAGATCAGTTTAAACGTCATTTTCATGACATTCACACTTGCTTTTGGATCATTGATCCATTTGGTCATTATGGGAAAAATGTGTCCTTAAATAGTCTGACTGTAGACCTCTCACATTTCGGTTACACTTTACTTGAAGGGGTGTGCATAAGACTGACATGACACCTTCATAATCATGACATGACACCTTCATAATCATGACATGACACCTACATAATTATGACATGACACATATCATGAATATGAAGGTTTTTTATGCATGTTTATGACAACTGTCATTAAGTGTCATTTGCTCAGTTATGTAATTTTTAGTGCAAAGCTGACATTGTTTGAGATGTCTTTGTTATGGGCTATGGTTAGGGGTAAGGGTAGGGGTAGGGTTAGGTCAAATAATGTCATATTTGCATTAAAAATGACATAACTGAGCGAATGACACTTAATGACAGTTGTCATAAACATGCATAAAACCTCCTTCATATTCATGACGTGTCATGTCATGATTATGAAGGTGTCATGTCAGTCTTATGCACACCCCTTCAAGTAAAGTGTTACCCACATTTCTTATCTAATTTTTGACAGTTAAGGTGGCATGTTTTCAGAAATGAATGTGATAAGTCTGCAAGTCTTTTCTCTCTCTCATGGCTGTGGTGTTCATCCAGGTGGCCCTCAGTTCTACAGCATGAACAGGCCCGTCCCCAGACAGATCACACCCACAGTGGGAGGTTCGCTGCCGTATCGCCGGCCGGCCTCAATCACGGGTCAGACTTCCATGCCCCCCAGCCAGCAGAACGGAGGGCCCTATTACAATCAGAACCAAGGTACTGCTCTCACTATTCAGACTTGACATCTTTCATGTTCTGGTTATTCGTCAAAGCCAAAGTTTAATTTGTTCTCTGAGATATAGTACATCATGTATCCCCCTACCTGCATTTTACTTTCTTTTAAGAGTTGTATTTGACACACCATTATATCTTTGATTACCACATTCATCTTTACTGCAACATTTCTCTCATAAAGTTCTTAATTATAATCTAGAGTTATCATAGTCAGATTAGTGCTTTGATGTGAAAATGAGTTAGTCTTTGAACTCTCTAGCTGGTGTAGATTCACCCTTCATCCTTTCTCCCCCGAGGTGACCATTTCCTGTTTGCCAGAAAGTGTTTGCACACTAAACTAACTGCCTACTCTCTTCTGTTTTCCCTTTCACATTCACTTTCTTTATCTTGGTTCATTGCTCACACACACTCCCCCCCTCCCCCCTCTGTACTGCAGATCACACCCCAGCTTCCACTGACGGGTTTTGTGGCTCGCGTACAGGAAACCAGTAAGTGGCTTTGAGGTTTTCTGATGAGACCCTCCTGCTTTTAAAGACACACTCATACACACGTTCAGCTCAATGTGGCTTGTCATGCTGTTGAAAGCATGAAAATATGTCCTGGTTTCAGGGCTGTCAGTTGATTAAAATCTACTTGTTTTTATAAATCAAATGTATTTATTATTAATTATATTAAAATTATAGATCAATATTTTCTGGAAAAAAAGCTTCCAAGTAAAGATAATTACATGATAACATTATTGTGGCAGATGGGTAGTTGTATTAGTGGCTATTTAGAGGCAGACTTAAAGTGCCCCTATTATGGATTTTTGAAAATTACATTTCATGCAGTGTGTGAATGTAAACAGTTATTGTCTCTCAAAAGAAAGATTTGACTCTGAACCGCTGAAATTAGTCGTTTTAAATTCGAATCCCATTCCGCGATTTTCACGTCACAAATTCTTACATTTGTATAATGCCCACCTACGTTCTGCGTGGACATCCAGACCAGCGAAAACAAACTTCAAACGTTGTAGCTGGTTCGTGTGGATAATGTAATGTCAAGAAGATGCTGTGCTCTTCGCTGTGAAAGTGAATTTTGTTTATTTTCACTTCCAAAGGATGAGGCTGTGAAGAATCAGTGGTTAAAATTAATCTTTACTAGGATACCACAGCAGTACAATCACAATATTTTGCTGTGTTCTCGTCGTTTCACTGATGACTGCTTCTCTAATCTCTGTGAGTTCAATGCGGGATTCGTAAACTGGTTGTCTTTGAAAGATGGGTCAGTGACCATATTGTTAACTCGCATTATAGTTCTGCTAATCAGCTGTGGGCCGGCTATTGTCTAGAAATGTCAATTAATATAGAATGTCTGTTGTACTTGGAGTCATGATTAAAGATGGAGCAATACGTTGGTTTGCAAACTGCAGTGCTTTATCAAGACACTATGTCTGTGTTCGGCTAACGCATATACCATTATTGTTTGGGTCTTTACTACCAAGATGTGGGTTCGGTTCGCTAACATAAGTGTAAAACAACTTTTTCCCCTCTGATTCTTTCTTTTTAGAAAAAAAGTGGAGCACTATCATTATTATAATAGGATGTATTATTATTAAGCTGTATTCCAGTACTGGTGATGGGCATTCCTTTTCCGACATGCGCTGTGTGCAGTAGACCAATCACAACAGACTGGGTCATCTGACCAATAAGAGCACAGTAGTCTCACGCAAAGGAGGGGTTTAGAAAGATGAATCTTCGAATGAATCTTTTGAGAGTCGTTGAGAAATAACGTAAAATTCAATGCATATTATAACAAAATGAAAGTGTTTTTTGACCTTGCATGCATGTAAACCTGTTATCGGGGACTCCCAAAACCAAATTCTAAACATTTCAAATAGCATAATTGGGGCACTTAATAAGCTGGAATTTGCTTTTTTGTTTTTTGGAACTTTTGCATAGATTTTTGCCCCGATTTGTAGTCTGAACGAGTTGACACTAGATGCCAAAAGTCTGCAGATTGCATAGACCGATTTCACAGAAAAATGCATCGTTTATGATGGGCACAGATTTTTTTTAATTGTTGGTGTCCGCAGACCGTGTCAGACAGACATCTTTGGCCATGTGATATGCCTCACAGTTTTTTTTCAGCATCTACTGCAATGATCACCCTGATTTTAAGATGAGGTTTTAAGGTTAAACATGATTGTGTTCTTGAATTCCACTAAATGTACGTTAAATTGGCAGCCCTCCTTTTTAAAAGAATCTTACATATGCAGTAGGGGTATAACAGTATGTTGTACATTTATGAGCTTCCATGTATTATTATTAATACATTCAAAATAAAATACATTAAAAAAAAATTTAATATTTAAAAGTTAAATGCATGTAATCAGTGCAAGCTATTGTGTCATGTCAGACTTATGCACACCCCTTCAAGTAAAGTGTAACCAGATAATTCTGTATTTTTAGCTGTGCAGTATGGGGGGAGATGGGGGTGCATGGGGAAAAGGACCAAGCCCAATATAATAATCCACCACTGAAATAATACCAAATTTAGTATTTTACTGAACAATACTTTTTAACTGTTTACCATATGTGTTGAAAGTAATAATTTCTAAAAACATACTTTTAAAAAAAAAACTATTTTGGTATTAAATCACGAGATCAGTATTGTATACGTGACATGAACTTGAGTGCATTGTTACACCCCTAACATACACTTCAGTTTGCATATGTAAATGCAAAACAGTCCAGTTGTATGATATATTAAAGGCAGGCTGATTACATTGTCATTTTTCTATACAGGTGCATTCCTATGTCTGTATGTGTCTGTCTATCTGAGAATATTAGGAGTAAAAATTCCATCACTGTTTCTTTCTCACAGTAAACCATTAATTTACCTCTTGCGCTTTCTGCATGGATCCATGAGCTTGCATGGCCTTCCCGTCTAAAGGAATCCTGGTCTATGTGCCTCCTGTTCATTTCTCTACTCTTGTTTCAGATGCACCTCCCCCTTCAGAAGAGCCGGTGTTTGAGGAGACACAAAACCCAGTTCCACCTCCAGAAGACTATGAGCAAGAGGAGTCTTCTGTGGTGGAGTACAGTGACCCTTACGCTGAAGAAGACCCACCCTGGGCTCCACAAACTTACCTGGAGAAAGGTACACTGAACATATTTTAAAGACTCTGGTCAGCACACGTTGTTATTGAGGTTGGCTAGCTACGGCATACCAACATAGTTCACACTGATGGTTCATCAGGCCATTTTAATGTGCTCATTGTGACGTCAGCACCATGATAATTTGTGAATGGCCTGTTTTTGCAGCTTGAGGTGGGTGTTAAATCAATGACACTGACACTACCAGAATTACAAGCATTTTTCGGACAGTAATTGTTTTTCTTGGGGACATAAGGGGTTTTCAACATTTACAAGAGCTAGTCTGTGTTTTTACTGCTGTCCCAATCCAGAATGTCTCTGAGTTTTCAAGGCGGCGGCAATCCAGAAGTTGGTTTGTATATCCTATTTGACCACTACCAAGTACCATGTGATAACTGCTGCACTTCACTGTAAAGTGCACGCATTTTAAAAATTGACAATTTTATTAATACAATTCTGGAAACTCTTTACAAGAATAATGTCATGTCACTGCTCCACTACAGCCAGTTTATAAATCAGGTCTTGCACAACAAATTTTACTAGTCGAACAATTAGCTTATTATAAGTTTATTTACCTTGTGTAAATAAAAGTTTGCATCAACTTGATTCTGCTAATTTCCACATTTTTTAAATGACATCCATCAATTTTAGAGATAAAATGCGAGACAAAAGCCATTTAAACTATATTGTCAATTTTCCTATTTTTACATAAGTATTTAAATAATAAAAATAATAAATAGGGTATTCATTTCCTATTTTTAAATTAAATGTATACAGTATCTCACAGAAGTGAGTACACCCCTCACATTTTTGTAAATTGTATTATATGACAACACAGAAGAAATGACACTTTGCTACAATGTAAAGTAGTGAGTGTACAGCTTGTATAACAGTGTAAATTTGCTGTCCCCTCAAATTATCACTTAGGGGTGTACTCACTTTTGTGGACAGTGGTTTAGACATTAATGGCTGTGTGTTGAGTTATTTTGAGGGGACAGCAAATTTACACTGTTATACAAGCTGTACTCTCACTACTTTACATTGTAGCAAAGTGTCATTTCTTCAGTGCTGTCACATGAAAAGATATAATAAAATATTTACAAAAATGTGAGGGGTGTACTCACTTCTGTGAGATACAGTACATTTATTCATTGTCCAAGCAATAACAGACAGCTGCTTACAGCTGACAGTCATGAAACTGACCATGTGTTCCTGGGTTCCTAGGAACACAGAACTCAATCCTCGACCATGAAATAAATCATCCAAAAGTTTTATGACTGAGGTGCAATACAAATTTATTATTACAGATATCCCCATGTGAAACAATTACTGTCCAAATAGGACTTCATTCATAGCTGAAAGAATCGTCAAATTAGCACAAAAATGTAATAGAAACACAACTGTGAATGACTGGTGCTCAAATTTCCACATGGGCTTAGTCATTAGTAACTTGGCTGTCTCTTTGTTTTTCCTGCTTTCAGTGGTGGCAATCTATGACTACATGCGAGACAAGGAAGATGAATTGTCTTTCCAGGAGGGGGACATCATCTATGTCATTAAAAAGAATGATGATGGCTGGTATGAAGGTGTGATGAGTGGCACTACAGGACTCTTCCCTGGAAACTATGTGGAGTCCATCATGCACTACACGGAGTAAGAGTGTCTTCTGTCTCTCCCCCAACCCTCAACGCCCACCAGCGCTAATCTTACACTGCAAAAGAGTGCATGTGTGCATACAAACCATGCTAATAACAGCCCGTGAGACTTAAGACACGAGTGGTGCGACTGAAAAGAGGAAGCGATATGAAGCTGAACATCCAGATGATGCAGAGCAGACTTTTGCACCAAGGACTGAGAAAACACTATTAGAGAAATAAGATTATATTAATACAAGCTAATAATATGTTTACTGTTACCTTGAATGAAGGATACAGAGTTTGAAGTACAGTATATGCATAAGCTAGATTTAGACTGGGAACATTGTTTTTATTTTTCCATATTTCATAACCTTTGCTCATTCCACAGCATTGCGGTGTTTTGGAAGGCAGCACAGGGGCTGACTGATGTCTCTGAAATAGATGAATTTTTTGAATGGCCTGAGGTGGGTTCAGGGTGTGTTTTACAGTGAGGTCACGTTCAAAAAGGGAATTCATTACAAGCATATTTTGAGGAACAAGGAAAGTATGCAACTGAATGGAAAGAGTGAATATAGAGAAGTAGCTTTCTATTTATTACGTGACAGCTCAAGGTTTTTTAATTTGTGTCTCTGTAAAGTGTTTTGTTTAAGTAATTGTATGATTTATTCTCTCCCACATAATTAAAATCGGTTTCAGCCAGATTGATGAAATAGGAAATATTTGCACAAACATGCAAGTATAATTGGTGTCTGCACAGGGTCAGACTCGTTTACACAAAGGTCTCACCTTGGTTTTACTTTTTTAATCATTAAATATATTTCATATGTTTATGAACATTTTTCCCCATGAGAAGCCATCAGGCTCGACACATGCAGTACTAGACATCTAATAACCTCATGAACTTTTAAACACTTTTTTTTCTCTCGTTTGTTTTACATTTAAATATGGTGTTGTGACGCTAACCAATTGGTAAATATTTGATAAGTGTATGTAGTGCTTCATAGACTGCATGCTTAATAAAAACAGTCCTTATTTACATTTCATTTTTCTTTTCTTTTTTTTCACTTTTGCATTTTAATTCTAGGGTACCCACAATCATGGAAAACCTGACATATATGGAAATGTTAAACTAGTGATTTCCAGTCTTGGAAAAAGTTATCGCAATGACTATCATTTCCTACAGTTGTTCTAAAATTATTCATCAGCTAAAACCACAGATATGCCTGCGTGAAACATCATTCTGGTTGTGGGACATTTTGAGACATTTACACAATAATATAGTTTGTCTATTCATTAATTTGCTAGTACCTGACATTGAAAAATCGTCCAATAATCGTGACCAACTATAAAGGTCACAAAAAAAAAAAAGAGTCATGTAAATTGACAGGGGAAAAAAAAAAAGTGTTAAAACCCCATATTTTAATTAGGCCCTCATCACGTTTTTGTTCTTGACCTCTTATACCCAGTTTAAGACATTCCTGCGACATGGACCGTATTAATTTGGGTGCTCTTGAAATGTTTATGCTACTAAATATATCGTGCCATTTTGTAGTATTATTGAAATGTGTATAAGCTACTATTTGACAATCATGGATGTTTCTCTCCAGCTACTAAAAGAGTTTTCCATTTTGCAGGTCCTAAAATCAGCAAGACTTCAGTGTGCCTCCATTGTGAAATTTAATTTGAATCTTATGTAAAGAGCACATGGAGGCTCTTAAAAACAGGGTAGAGTCTGGTGAGCATATCTCTCGCCCTACCCTGCAATAATACCTGGCAAAATGTGACGTTTTGAGGGTTAATTTACCTCTGCCTGAAAGCACATGACTCTAAACATCAGAGAATTGACAAAAAATGTAAAGTTTAACTCCATTAACTCTATATTCTTGTGCAAAGATATATTTATATATATAACCGGATAAATGTATGGGCATCAGTATTTCCATGTGTGAGAGGATGAAACTAATGTGCAAAATCTCTAAATGTGAACCCTTCTTTTCAACTTTGCCCCCTATGTGTCAGATGCAAAAGTGAAAAAATGTGTATATGATAAACGTTCTGTTTTTGATTTCTTTCCATACTGTGTGTAGATTGTGTTGAGGGGCGTTGACAGTGAAATGTCGTCTCAGATGTAGTTGTAGTGCAGAGCCCAAGTCCATGGTCTTTTTCAGACTTACGTAACTTGGCAGCGAACAGGGTCCAGATGGCTTGAGACGTACGTAAGCTTGCACACTCAGACGCCCACAGGCTGTTAGCTACAGAGAAGAAGAGCATTTAGTCTGCTTTGACGAAGCTATGAGATTCTCAACATATTTGTATCTTATACAGATTTACTTCACGTCTTTATATAAGTGTTATTTTATTTTTAAGTAATATGTATATATAGCTACAGTAGCCACACAGCAAAAATTGGAATTGGATGTTTGTGTGGAAGTGTGAAAGTCAAACCTCAGCTCTGTGAAAAGTGGTCCATGGTGTGAGAACAAGATATCAAATGAGCAGTTCTGTTTAGTCGGAATCAAAAAGTGGGGGGTGGGAGTAAAATGTGTTCGATTCTGATTTCCTATTGTTCTTTATTGTCTACATGAGACCGGAATTATGTCCCAAGGATTACATCTCAGTAACTTTTTTTCGTTTAACATCAAGATAATGTTATACAAATTCTATTATTGTCGTAATTTTACTAGAACTGTTTGGTAAGTGCTTAATTATATCTGTTAGCCAAAACAATATTAAGGTATGATTGCTACCTTTAACACTTTCTTTTTATGATTTGTATGATTCATGCAATTATTTTTATATACTAGCCTATGTGGCCTACTAGTTCGATTTTTTTTCCCATCTAATAGATTGGGAGAAATTTAACATTGCATCACTTGTTCACCATAATTAACGTTTTGTGAAGTGATGTGAAAGGCTTTTATGGCAGGTTCCATTGTGACAAATTGCCCCATAAAGTACTGGAACTGAAACATACGGAGGAAATGAACTGTGTCCTTATTACTGTTGAAAATAAAGAGATTAAGCCTGTACACATTTTATATCAAGGAGAACAAAGGAATCACTTGCGAGTGATGAAAATACATGACATAATATTGCTTTTTCAAAACAAATAAGTTCTAATCAGTTTGCAAAACTTTTGTTGACATTTCAGAAGCCACACCGATCATATGCATCCATTTTCAGACTCTAAACCACAATGTTTTCAGGTTCTATGAAGAATTTAATTAAGCCAAGGCAGGGCTTCTAACATCGCATCTCTGGAAGATTGTTTACTGAACACTGCAGTGGAGAAAAATACATTCATATAGACAGAATAGAAGTGAATTACGAAAGAAATTTAGAAATAAAGAAAAAGGATGAAGCCAGCCTTCATTCTGCTGCTCTTCTTTGATTGCTGCTGTGTCTCAGGTAAGAAACGATTCATGATTTAATCAAGTTCATAAGATGAGGATCTAAATACAGAATCACTGTAATTATGAATTGGACAGTCATTACCTCAGTTCTTTAGTAAAACTTTACAATCGCTTCAAGTCATTAACAATCATATAGTGCTTTTTTTTTATTTGAAACAATATTAAAGGGGTGATTTCAATGATGCGATTTCAATTTTTCCTTTCTCTTTGGAGTAGCGCTTGTTGTTTGTCATTTCTCCGATCACAAATGCTGACATGGTTTTATGTTTACACGGCGTGATGCAATGCAGCTATAAATCATTATAATCCGTAATTATGTCCCCACTGGATGCAACAAATGCCTAGTTTGTAATGGGTTGTATTGGTTTTGTCTGGTCGTGCCGGGAGACAAGTGCTACTCCACACTGCCCAAAACTCGCGTTTGAATCATCAGTGGCAAATTCTTTAAATATAAAAAACGTACTTACAGGCTGAGAGTAAGAAGCGACAGACTGTCCTTGCAAAGTTGGAACTGCCCCACTTTATAGAAACACACACCGGCATTGTAGGCTACTCTCCCAGGAAACAGTCCTCATTCTCCGCAAAATGCGCTGCACACAGGAACGGCCGCCGGGCTTGTGCCCACCACATGTGACGACCCTGGGCTGAACTCCGCTTCGTCCACGGTGAAAGCCGATCCGGCGATCCACAGCGCAAAGTTGATGTATTTCCTCAGCGACCAGCACGGATCAGCTCCAGGCATGACGAAGCGGATATCGTCCTCTTTTGGAAGACCAAACAAAGTAGTTTCGCTTTCACAACGAAACACACAGTGTCTCCATGACATGGCGGCGGCAACAATACTACAGCGAGAATAAAAGTTACGCCTTCTTTCTTTGTGTGAACATTTGGGTGGCGTTATGCAAATCTTCCCACATTGTGATGTAGACATGTGGGGGCGTGTTATAACGAGCCGTTTTAGGTAGGCGTGGTTGACTCAACTTTTATAAAGAATATCTCTTTGGATTTGAGACTTTAGTCTTTGCAACTTTAATGATTCTTCTTTGTGCTCCAAGAGCTTGTAACACTCCAAAGAGAAAGGAAAAATTTAAATCCCCTCATTGAAATCACCCCTTTAATATTGTTTCAAATAAATAACATTCTTTTGAACTTTCTATTCATCCAAGAATCTTAGGGAAAAACATTACGGTTTCCATGAAATTATTAAGCAGCTCAACTGTTTTCAGCATTGATAATAATAAGAAATATTTTTAAGCAGCAAATCAGCATATTAGAAAGATTTCTGAAAGATCAAGTGACACTGAAGACTGGAGTAATGATGCTGAAAATTCAGCTTTACCATCACAGAATAAATTACATTTTAAAGTATATTAAAATACAAAACAGTCAGTGTACATTGTGATAAAATTTCACAATATTACTGTTTTTCCTGTATTTTTGATCAAATATAAACAGCCTTGGTGAGCGTGAGAATTTTTCCAAAAACATGAAAAAAATATTACCAACCACAAACTTTTGAATAGTACAGCACAGATTGCTACTTCATTAGTGAAAGTTATGATGAAGTGTTATCTTTTTTCTCTAATTAAACACGGCAGCTACTATTAGGTTATAACTCTGGCTGACCTGGCATTGAAGGTTTTTGTTGATGAAGTAAACAGGCAGTCCAGCAATTTCAACCTGCACAGGTCAACCACCAGAGTGGTCCGAAAAAAGAAAGTATATTTATATTTGATCTGACAACTCCAGTGTGTGCTAAGAGTACCAGCCCTAGACTGCAGCCTCAGGAATCCTCTCAGCAAGCAGTCGAGCAGTTTCTCAGTACATACCGTCCTCTAGTGGTTATATGAATTCAAGTCAACAAAGCCATAACAGTAGTGGGTTACACTTAACCCTCACTAAAAGAATAACTCACAAAAACATTATTTACTCGCCCTAGTGCAGTTCCAAATCCCTATGCTGTTTTATTAAACACGAATAGGAGAAGTGTATGTCAAGCTCCAAAGTAAAAGCAGCGCCATAAATTTAAGTTAAAAATATTATTATGCTGTGAATTAATAATTCACAGAAATAGACCAACAGACTTCCAATTGATGTTTCAAATAAAACAGTAACTTTACATGACATTAGTTTGCTTTAAACGATGCATTTTCAACCAAGAAAATACTATAATCAAATAATCGTCTCCTTATTTCTCTGTACATACTGTATTTCTGTGGTAAACAGACAAGGACGGTCTCTTATAAAATTAAATGTGTAGTAGTTGCTGCGGTATAGGCTTAATCTCTTGAGCAATGTTTAACTAAAGGCAGTTTAATCAGGGACATAAACGTGTGCAACACCTAACAGTCTATATTTGTAGATTTTAAAACAGTATGCATGTATTATATAGAGTGTACTATCCAATAATGGACTAACATTGTTATTCAATGTAAATCAGAGGATTCACCATAAGAAGCTTTTAATTGTATGATGATAATGGACCATCAAAAGAACAAGAATTTGGACAACATTGATTTGTGTGATTTACACATTTATATTGTTCAGTTTAAATGTAACAGACATTTACTTCCCCGTTTATTTAACTAAAGGTTCCTGACTTTAAGAAGCAGCATTAGCTCTGTACTGTAAAAAGAACTCTAGCTATTCCTACATTTCATCGTTCAGGCTTTCAAAACTGAAGGAGTTTTAGAGACGCAAAACCAACAGGTACACGTTTTCTCGACCTATGCATTCAAGTTTGCTAGAGGAATTACAATGATAGTAGGCACACAGTGAATTTTTTGCATTGTAAGTCAAGTAAACTTGACGTGACACCTTTTATTTTGTGGCTATGGTCCTAAAACCCTACAAAGTGTTCAATCTTAGGCAACCATACTGTTGAAGCATGCATGCTAGATTAATGTCAGAACATTGTGGCATTGCCATGACATGAGAGATAGATGTTCCAGATATGTAACACACTTTAATACAGCACTGAGCATAGACAGAGGTCAAAATAAGAACAACATCAATTCCTTATGTGTGAGCTAACCCATGCAGAGCTAACGCACATTGATAAAGTCAGGAACTGCAGCTGTATGTACAGATAGATAGCAATGCAACCAACATAAACAGACATCACATCCCATCCCAGACACAGGCCAGCTACACACAGAGATGTACTCAAGTGGTAACAGGCTCATTTTCATCTTTGTCTAACATTTGGACAGCTTCAAGAAAAGTAAGGGTCCACAGCGACACAACATAACAGATTTATCAATAACAATGGTAGCTTTTTTTTTCTCTTTTTTTTTTTTGTTGACATTTATCCCATCCCAGACACAGGCCAGCTACACACAGAGATGTACTCAAGTGGTAACAGGCTCATTTTCATCTTTGTCTTAACATTTGGACAGCTTCAAGAAAAGTAAGGGTCCACAGCGACACAACATAACAGATTTATCAATAACAATGGTAGCTTTTTTTTTCTCTTTTTTTTTTTGTTGACATTTTAGTGGATGTTTTAAATTAAATGTGGAAAATTTGGTAGAATACTTCATTTAGAATGTATGCTACAAGTGCAATTCCCACATTGGGATTTGCACGTCTAATGACAAGCAAGGGCGGCACTATTACCAGGCCTTCATTGTTTTTCTGAGAGTGGATCAACCAAATCACTCAGACAAAATGCGCGCGCACACACACACACAAACATCGGTTCAACAACCCTAATTTTCTATTCACGTTTAACGTTTACAGTCAAGGGTTTCAAAACTAAACTTTAAAATAAGAATATATTTCAGGTATTAAATAATTTCATGTAAAAAAGTACAAGTTCCCTCCCACCCTAGAGTTCCACATATATATGTATACATATACATTATCCCCTTTCCTCACAGCAGTGTCCATGCAGTACCTATAATAACAACATCAGTCTT